TGTACATGTTTCCCGCGTTTTTCTCTGTCCATCGGCTGTCTTTTAGGTAACCGGTCAGCTGGATTCCTTGAAGGTGAACGTCAGTTAACTCTTTACAACTTACAGGATTGTTATGCAACATACATTGAATCCTCGCGTCATAGAAATATTACTTTACCATTTCCCCGCAAGCACTTTATAGTGGGGTACAAATTTCTGTAAAGTTTACTTAAATAATATTCTGAAATAATATTTTAATTAGAAAATAACTTATCTTATTTTATGAGATTCAAGCAAGTATAAAATAGTTGGAATTTGGCAATAAATTAAAGATTAAATGAACTTTTAAAGTGCGTGAAAATGCGTGATTGCGGGGAAACGGTAAATGCGTGATTTTGCGTTAGAAATAGGAAATGGTATATGCGTTAAAATGCGTGACTGCGGGGAAGGGTGTTAAATAGCAAATACTACTGTAAAATTACTAATCCCAAACTAAATCATCTGAAAGATAGTATCACAGAAAAACTGTGTGAGATGATTACTAAGGGTGTACTTGACAACATTACCTATGACTTTCTACGGAAAGTTAAAAATACGAGGGTAGGGAGATTATATTTGCTCCCTAAAATACACAAGCTCAACATTGAAACTTTTAATGAAATTAAAAACAATGGTAGCTGCAATTCACCAATTATTCCACCAGGTCGACCTATAATCTCACAAATAGGTTCACCTACAGAACGCATTAGCCAGTATGTAGATTACTTTTTGACTCCCATCGTGCAAACACTAAGCACGTATATTAGGGACAGTTCAGACTTCATTCTAAAAGTTGAACAACTCAGACCACAGCAAAATTGCCTATTGGTCAGTTATGATGTAACTTCACTCTACACAAATATGCAATTTGAGGAGCTAATTACGGCTGTTCAAGTAGCCTATACCAACTTCAGCAAAGCAGAATATACTATACCAGCTCCGCCTACAGCTGATCTTTGTTTTCTATTACGACTTGTACTAGAAAACAATATATTCGAATTTAACTCTGTTATGTATAAACAAACAATAGGATGTGCGATGGGTTCTAAGTGTTCCCCATCTGTGTGCGACATTCGCCTTCACCAAATCACAGATGAAATCATCGATAAATTTACAGGGAAGAATGATTTAATATATCATGGTCGCTATCGCGACGACGGGTTTATCATTTTTCACGGATCGGAAGCTGTCATCCATGAACTATTTGGGCGACTTCGATTCATACCCGAGTATTAACTCTTGGTTGACGTCACATAACCGGATGTTTACACAAACATGTGGTGTTCAAGCGAACTCATATGAGTTTGAAGGGTAGCGAAAATAAAATAAATTTCCTCTATGAGTTTTAAAAGGCGGTCGAATAGGTCCATTTTGACATCATCTGTTGAGTTAATTTTTTCTATAGCTTTTGCTGCAGTTGAAATGTTTTTCTTTTTCAGCTCTGAACTTTTTTGGTTTCGAATTTGAATTTATGTCTCTGCTGTTATTGGGCAGTAAGCCTGAAAAACCTAATCAAATAAACATATATTCATATAAATTATAAAGCGTTCATGTAGAAAGTGCGTTTCGAAGTTTGCTTTTATGGATAACCGATGCTAAACACAATATTTAGTAAAATATAATTCCTACACTCGGGTTTTTCTTTCGACGCCGCCATATCGAAACTCTAGTAATCCTACTGTATGGCTGGGTTAGCTTGGGTAGAGTTCATAAGGACATATGACGTATTTTGAGGAGTAACTATGGTCGTTCGATTGAAACTCAAGTAACTCGAGTACGTACTCGGGTACGAATCGAAGTCGCCCTTTGAGATAGCCAATTCACACCATCCTCTACTCAAATTCACATATGAAATCTCCACACAAGAAATCAATTTCTTAGACACTACAGTGTTCAAAGGAAAAAGATTTAAAACCAATCAAATTCTGGATTTTAAAATCTACATTAAACCAACAAACACATTCCAATATTTGGAAGGGAATAGTGCACATAACTCCTCTGTTTTTAAAGGATTCATCAAAGGTGAAACAATACGCCATATGAGAAATACAAGCAATGAAATAACTTTGCTTGAAATTCTGCGTGAGTTTGAGTTTAATCTCTTAAAAAGAGGATATGATGAAATTGAAATCAAATCTAACATGCAAAATGTACTCGCTAATTATAGCAGAGAGAAAACCCTAAAAAGTAAAAGTGACATCAAGAAAAAAGGAATTCCTCTTGTTTTTGTCACAAAATACAACCCCTGTATACGACATTTAAAAAGAAAACTGATAAAATATTGGCATATCCTTACAAAGGATGAAGACTGTAAAAAAGTCTTCTCAGAATTACCTATTGTGTCCTACAAACGCAATAAAAACTTAGGTGATATTCTCACCTCCTCAACAATTAAATAATTTAATTTAATATTATGTGTAGATACATAAATGCATAATGCAAATAAACTCCTGATGAGGCGGATTTGCAGCAATATGAAGAAAATTATTTCTTCATCATAAATCAATTTATAAAAATATACCTCGTTTCACACCGCCGAAACACTAAATTAGTGTAGAGTCAGGTGATCGGAGGTACGTGGCTGATGGGAGCCACCTGTTTTAAAAAAAAAAAAATAAATAAAAAAATAATAAAAAAAAAAATAATAAAAAAAAAAAAATAAAAATAAAAAAAAAAAATAAAAAAAATAAAAAAAAAATAAAAAAAAAAATAAAAAAAAAAAATAAAAATTAAGTTCTTAAACAGGGGAGTATATGCTGACTTCAAAGCACTGAATATTTTCATAAGTAATGACGCCATATGTACGTAATGACGTCACAAAGATGACGTAAATTTCAGTTTTTTATGAATTTTACAGAAAAATGTACATATTTCGTTAATATTTTGAGTAAAAGTCACCGAGCGCATGTGTGTTCAGAAAAAATATTTTGATATAATGTGTAGAATGATAATATCAATGAAATATGTAAATATTGTTCCCGAACAAACTTGCGCTCTATAAATTTTAAAGCTAAAATTGTTGAAATTTTGTCCCCTTTTTGAAAAAGGATATAAAATCGGACTAGTTTGTGACGTCATAAAAACAAAAATTGTGAATACACTGCTTTGACATTATAATATTTTCAGTAAATTTATTTTTCTCATACAATTTATTGGCTTCAGCACATTTCAGGAAGTTTTCAAAATTTGACTTTTGTGTGGGCAAATATATGTAATATACCGCATATAGTTCTTTCAAATAAGATGCACTTGACAAAACTGCAAAGGCCTAAGAAGAGCAAACAATTGAAAGAGCAGAAAAACAGTTTTATATGCTATTTTCTTAAATATTAGCGGTCTTATTGTTCAAATTCATATTCAAGGGAGGAAGTTCAATTTCTGGAGGAGTCTAGAAAACAATTGTTTTGCGAAAATATTGTAAGGTTTATTAGAGGAAAGAAACAGAATGAGGAATTCACTACATTAAATTTTCTCATGACAGCGTCCAAACCCACATGCCATGAAGAGTAAATGAGTTTTGGGGACAAACAGAAAGTTAATGTTTTGTTACACCAACAAAATTTTTCAGATCCTTCAACCTTTGACTTGTTTCATTTCCCCAACTTAGAAAAACATCTATTAGAAAGGAAAAAACAAGTACAGCAAACAAATCATAGGATCTGTCATATTCCAGTATAAGAAGCATCATACTCAAAAATGTGTTCTAAAAACAATTAGAAACTGAAGGAAAATGTCACGGACGTGTGTTTTAATTACAAGATAATATTTTAGTTAAATCATTAGTACTAAATCGTACAAAAGCTTTTTTTTTTGTTCTTTCCGAGCCCCAATGACATTATTTATTGAACGCCCCTCGTATGTATTTGATTGGTTTATGTTGAAAAACTATGAAACAGCATGCTATGTTTTAAACTTAGCCTTTCATGCTCTATAGCTACAGATCTCAATATCTTAATAATTTTCAAATTCTGTTTAAAACATACTTAATACAAATGACCTTTAAACGAATTGCGCATATCACTTTGCCATTTCTGTATGTACCGATCTTTATGACATTGTTCAAATATAGTTTTCAGCCATAAAGTATTTAAAAAGCGTCTGTTCATGCCATACATTTGAGCAGCCACAAGTATCAAGCATATTTTTAATGCAAAAAATCCAAGGGTTTTTATAACTTCCTAAATAAATTGTCCTAGTAAATGTGTATGCGTAACAGAAACAATCTTATTTTCAGGGCTTATAAGTAATTTGCCTGATGGGATATCAATCTTATATACATCGATATATACAAAGGGAAAAAACCAGTTTCACCATAAACCACAGCTACTTATCAAGGCTAAACAAATTTGAGATGCATACTCAGAGAATAATACACAAGGAGTAATACTATTAAAATCAAAAATAAGTATTTCAAAAATTTTAATATCTCAGCATTTTCGTAATTGCGTATCTCACATCCATTGTCTAATTTTTCGTACGAAAGGTCGTTTCGTGCTATCACGTATTGTGTTATGGGACCGCGATTTACATGGTTTTATCCAATAAATTGGTCTCTTCGTTGCACATTACGTAAGGGTCAACTAATTACTCTGAGAATCTAGAGTAAAACGTTCTTACCACTGCATCATTTAAGCATCTATCTAATATTGATTTACAAGTTCAAAAAACTTGAAATGTGAATGATCATTTTAACCATGGTCATCTTCGTTATTTTCCATTAAATTCAAAAAAAAGCAAAAACACATGGCATATGTACAGAGTTTTGTGTAACAAATAGTGTTTACATGGTATTGTGTATTGCAAGCAAAAGAAAAAGAAAAATGGAGCAAAATAATTAAAATTGAAAATGCAATCAAACCATCATTTTTCATTCTTTCAACGTTTTATTGCATGTGCATCCTGTTGATTGAGTACATCTGTATCTGCATAAAAAACTTTGAGTATATTTAGAATTTTGAATAATTGCTATCTTTTTAATGCAGGTACAAGTACACCACGTACTACAATATCTGGTCACGGAACATCGAAGGGACACCAAATAACAGACTCATCACCTGTTGATCGTCATAATGACAGCAACGGTTACTATTCTAACTAACTTCATACTTTCTATGTTTTGATTGTTTACATAGAGAAATATCTCTATTCACTAGCTTGATCTCAAGTTCATTTGAGAAGCAATTGTTTTGTAAGCAACTTTTGGGGAGAAATAGAAATGCTATCTCTAGTTCATACGGACTTATAACCCAAAAGATTTTGAAATTCAAATCACAAAATACAAGTATGGTAAAATGTTTTGCAATGAAACTACATCATACTACATCATTGATAACTTATAGCTAGTTTGTCTGCAAAATATTTGTTTTTTCCCAGAAGCAATTCGGAAGTCATAAAACCATCAGTTCTTAGTAGCTTTTTAACATCTCGTTTATCTGTAAAACTTTAATAGCACATTAACTTTGCAGAGCAATCAGATTCGAAACTGCCTCTAATCATTGGAAGTGTTGTAGGAGGCTTTCTTTCTGTCGTTATTGTCGTAATGATCATCGTCATTGTCATCAAGAGAAGGTAACTGCAAATACAGGAATTAGTGAAGATGATTTTCTTACAACTCTTAAAATCCCAATGTGCCTTTTGTTATACACTCGTACAGTGTATATTTGGAAAATGTAAATGTAAACAGAAACCCAAAATATAGAAGCAATATAGATATATATACAAACAACTTTAACGGTTCTTACAGTTATAATTTATTTGTCTATGGGGTTTTTTCTGGGTAATTTTTCCTTTATATTGTGCTTTGCAAGTATTTTTATGCATAAATGTTTATTAATTTATAGAGCAAATTTCTGTTGAATATATAATTTTTATCTTCTCATTTTTATTTTATTTTTGAAATATGTTCGCTTATCTTAAGTTATATATTTTGTCAGGCGTCCAAATAAGAAAGAGAACTCTCACCCTGCTCCTACAGAGAATGTATATTACAGTGAAATGAAAGAAGACAAAAAATCACAATTAACAATGGAGAAAGAGGAACCATCACCAACAGTTGACAGCACAGACTACGATACCATGATGTCCGTCAACAAAGAGAAGATAACTGATGACTCTGAGGAGTATGGGAAGTTACTGCCTAATGATGATGCAGATGTGTATAATCACACATGGGATAAACCAATCACAGAACAGTTTACAGATCACGTGTATAGTTCGACTTTCTCAGGAAATGACGCAAACGAGTATGATCACACTGTTACTAGTTATACAGAGTTAACTAAAGACACTGAAGAGAAAAGAACATTATTAAACGGAAATGAAGACAATTTGTATGATCACACAGATACTAATAATACAGAGTTATCTAAAGTCAGTGATGAGAACAGATAACTGTCAACTGGAAATGATTTAAATTTGTATGATCACACAAGCTGAATATTTAGACAGAATCGAAGGATGGAAAATATGGCTAACAGATATTAGATAATTTTAATTTTTTCGTATTCAACCACCAAAAAAATATACTTACTTACTTCTAAGTATTTCTTTTGCCTAATTGCAAAATTAACAATGTCTATAAACTTTTTAAAAATATATAAGACAAACCATATATTTATTGTATTGTTTTATGGACTCTGATATTGATTACTGTTCCTTATCTTCATATCCTTCATTATGTACACAATTTACACAATTTTTATGTATAATTATAAAAAAAGAATGAATTTAATTACAATTCTATACACGCCACTCTATATTTGCAACTGCTATAAAATAACCAGCATACTGTTAAGAGAAATGATTTCTCAAGTCTTCTTTGAAAATATAAATGCTATATGTAGTAGCCATTATTACTGGATTGTAAATATATTTAAAAAATGACAATCTGAAAGCAATGTCAACGAGGCAACGTTCAGCGAGTTTTCTATTTTACAAGTATCAGCTTTTCAAAAGCTTGCCTGACTAAATCAATCAATATCTGCATGAGGAGAGATATACCTTTTGAGCAACACTATTGTGGTTTTAAAATTTGTCCTTACTTTATATTTTGAGAACCTTGTGTAATTGAAATCCTTGATTTTATTTTAAGGACAGATGATACAAACAATTTTTTTCTGTAGAGGAGACTTAATATCATGTCACAAGTTTAGAAAAGTGGATAATTCTTAGAATTTTTTCTCCTAAGAACTGGAGAATGGAATAGACTTGGAAAATATTAGTTATTACCTATCAGTAAGTTCTCCCGCTGACAAAGCAAGTACATGCAACATTTTCTTCGTAAGACTCATTATTTGAACTGTATTTTAATTAAAGGAACTTGGATTTAATTCTACAATTGTTTATCCAACTTATACTCATACCTTCCTTGCTAGTGAGAACATTCTTCAGAATCGTGTGTGAGGTTATTTTTTTTCTATTGTCTACAATCAAAATGAATTTTAATTATCATACTTATACTGAATTCCTATCAAAAGTACGGAATGGTCCAATTAATATTCTGCGAAGACTCTTACTTTACTCCTCACTGAAGTATTTTAAAACAGCAGTGAAGGGACAAACTACAGGAGAACTTTGAAGCAGTATGTTCGAGAAGTGATGGAACTCAGATGTGGACATTTAAACCTTCCGAGGAACTTTTAGAAATTTTGAAATCACAATTTTATATAAATAGCTTCAAAAACATCAACATTTCATCACTTTATATACCATTCTTTATAATATATTAAATTCCAGTCTCTTTGACATCGTCTTTTTGGGGAGGGTGGCCAAACCAACGATCCAATGTTCAATGCCTATCTTATGTTTATCTTTGCAAAGAATGTTTTAAAAAAAAGGAGTGCTAATAAGTCCCCCCCAGCCTCCCGGTTTCGACGTCTATAAATAGCTTCACAATTTAAAAATTTCATTCAACGACTAGTACTAGGTTTTAAAAAAAGTCTTCCCGGCATTAGTTTTGTGCATCAGGGCTCTCAAAATATTTGATATACAGCAATCCAAAATACAGCTTGATACATGCCTGTAGCAACATTTTTCCATTTGGGAGAGGAAAGTGACCGAAAAAAAAATCATGCGTACGATAGATCTGTGCTACATCGATACCATCAAATCTATCTTTCCAATGTACGATTTCTTCCGCATAAAGTCATATCTGATATGAAACCCCTTATGTGTTACATGGATAAAAATAGACCGACTTTTTCAAATAGGAAAAGTAAAGGCCAATCAGAGATGAAATTTAACAATTTTGCTATGAAAGTACTTTTAGTCAAGTAGGTAGATGCAGATCATTGTAGAAAATATTTGAACGAATGTACATCAATATTTAATGAATATAGAAATTGTCTTTAATTGGATTTCGGTTAGAAACACGTGCATACGTATTGTAGTCCTTTTTGTAAAGGACAGAAACTTGTTTTAACCCTTTTTGAGCATTTTCTTTCGTTATGATAAATAATATGAAAATGAAATTACGTTCTTAGAAATGCTCGAGACGTAAAGTATTGAATAATACAATTTACTTACGTTCAATTTAATATTCTTTTGGACTATCGTTTGGTTAATTATCGTTTAAACTCAGGAAGAATAGAATGGATTTATGAAGCACACAAAAGATCTTCATGAAAATATATCAGGAAGTATATTATAACTGTGACTGTAAGAAAACCAGGACGACATAGTGTGTGGAATTCCCCTGATGTGTTAACTTGCTGATCTGGAGGAGGACATTTAAACTGAGATATATACAACATGAGGGACACTGCTCTCTGGGGAGGGTTACTTATTTTGATTCTGTGCCACCAATCTCAGTCGTTTTGTGAAACTGTCAACAAAGGTATGACGTTCACATGATTATGTTATTTTATAATAATTTTTTAACGTTAAATTATTTCCAACAAAGAAGAAGATCATGACAATCAATCGATCAATCAATCTCCTTAAATGAAATAAGATGGCAAACTGTAAACAAGCCCTAACAGCCATTGAAACAATTTTTGACAAGTAAATGTACAGCATTAATAATGTAATAAATACAAGTACTTGAAATCAAATTTGAATTATTTATCATTCATCATGTTTGGTTTTGAAAGGGCGGGATGCATATGAAAATAGATTTTTAATTTCTGTTTTTGAACAAACCCAAAAATAAAAGTAATGGTCACTTTACTAAATAGAATAACTTTAAGAAATTAGAGAATTAGTAATGGTTATTAAATGCCCAAATTCCTATAGTAATGGTAATTAAATGCATTAGTGTATATGTACAACAAACTTGGGGTTGCATTCGACTTATTGATAGATATATTTGCTGAAAAGTTAGTTGTATCGTCATTAGAACTTTCTAAATGATAATTTTAAAGAATAGTTGATATTTTTATTTCATCAACATGTTTTTAAAAAGCTTAACTCGTTTCAAAAAACGTTGTGTGAAGAGCAGGCTCTTTTGTATCGAATTAACTGAGAGACATAAATCCTATATGTTAAGAGTACATGCTTATTGCTACACATGTAAAGGAAGTTGACGATAAAAAAATAAAGTCTTCGCTTTTATCATGTTTTACTTGTAGTAGTAGTAGAAGTAGTATTTATTTGGTATCATTTCATCATACATAAAACAAATACACATAGTTATACATTATCTTATAAAACACGAAAGTTGGTAATCAAGATTTTATAAATAAATAATTAAGGTAACAATATTTTTAGAAATACGATTTCACTGTGATTAGATTTATACCAGGCCTAGGATAACCCATTAAAGCCCCAGAGCTTATTTCCAATGGGGTCCTATCTTAAATAACTTTAAAGAATAAATAACAATACAATGTAATGAATGTTCCATCATTAAAGCACTATAATAATTTTGGCACACTAACTTTAGCATAAACATTTAAACTGAGTTTAAATATGACACCATTGACTTTATCAATAAAATAATACAATATATTTTATAAACTTGTACAGAGACATATCACTTTCATGTTCTAAAATGCCTTTTTGTAAGATAAAAGTCTTGACTTGTTTCTCAAAATCACTCTTTCCTTTTGTACACTTAATAGAGGCTGGTAAAAAATTCAAGTCCTTTATGCCATTATAATAAAACTTGTCAGCTTGACATGTTTTCACATGAGGTATAAAAAATCTTCATTAGTGGATGTTCTGGTGTTGAGTGAAGACACAGCTGATTTTAGAGTAAGAATTTCGGTTAAGTAAGATGGCGCATTACCATGGTATATATTATATACATGTACATGGTTTCATCTGAGTTGTCTTAGCCGATCTTCTACATTCAACAAATTCAGTGTACTAAGACCTTTATAGTTTATGGTAAGCAAAGGGGATAGATTAAGTATAAATCTCACCATTTTGTTTTGGAATATTTGTAATTTCTTTTAAGGCTCTTTGATAAACCTGCATACCATGCATAGCTGGCATAATCTAATTGGCATTGTACAAGAGCAGAGCATAATAGCATTTTACTTCTTATATTTAAAAAACGAGTTTGTCTGTATAAAAAACGCAACCTATTGTTAATTTTTCTAACAATGGACTCAATAATAAATTCACCACTCAAAAATTGATCAATAAAAATTCCTAAGTATTAAACTTTTTTCCATAGAATGAATTATATGACCATTGCACTCAATGTGAAAATCTTGAACATTTGTAAGTTTCTTTCTTGATCCAAATAAAATACATTCAGTTTTTCCCAGGTGTAGTGATAACTTGTTATCAACTAACCATTTAGAACATTGTTTTAAAACAGTACTAACTTTTTCTGAAATATAATCTACATTTTTATGTGAAAATAAAACTGCACTATCATATGCATATAAAATAAGTTTGCAGTCAGGATCAATACTGGAAGCCATATCATTGACATAGATTAAAAATAGTAGAAGGCCTAAAATACTGCCTTGAGGTACCCCACATTTACTACATCTTGGTCAGACATAACATTTTCTAATTGTTGTACAAATAAATTGCTTTCTATTTGACAAGTAAAATATAAACCAGTCTGTATTTCTTAATACAATCGCATTTAGTCTTCTACATAAAATTTTATGATCTTCAGTATCAAAAGCCTTTTGAAGGTCCAACATTACCTGTATATAAACCCTTTGATGTATTTCCTTTTATAAAATCATACAAATGTATTAAACAAGTTTCAGCAGAAAAATGTCCTCTAAAACCAGACTGAAATTTATACAAAATTTTATATTGATTTAAAAATCTAACAAGTTGTGTATGAACAGCCCTCTCTAAAACCTTGGAAACAATACTCAAAATACTAACAGGTCTGTAATTACCAACGTCATGTGAACTACCTTTTTTATACAGAGGTTTAATTCTAGCTATTTTAATATCATCATGTACAATACCAGAAGTGATAGTCAGATTGATTATATAGGTAATGGGTATTTTAAAAACAAAATGCTCCATTTCTAACAAATCTAGCTGGGATGTTATCCAGACCTTTACTTTTGTTGGGATTGCCTTTCAACAGCTCTATATGAATGAATTCCTCACGAACAGTTTTGAGTGTAAAATAACAATTTTCAACTTTTTTCTTTTTATAAATAGATATATTAAAACGACACATGATTTTAGAATACAAGAATTTTAATTCCTACGTGGATACGATATATTCTAGTGAGCTTGAGATAAAAGATACCACAGAGTCCGACAATTCTGTTTCATACTTGGATATTTTACTTGAAAAAGACTAATGGTTATCTAACAAACAACCTATATGATAAACGTGATGACTTTAACTTTTCCATCGTCAACTTCCTTTATTTATGCAGCAATATACCTTCATCACCTGCATACGGAGTATATATATCTCAGTTGATTCGATACGCAAGAGCATGCCCTACGTATGAACAATTTCTAAAACGAGGTAAATTATTGACAAGCAAGTTGATGTAACAAGAATATCAGCAGTCTCGTTTAAAGTCATCATTTCGTAAGTTCTGTGGTCGATACAATGACCTTGTCAGCAAATACAATTTATCATTGAGTCAAATGCTGACTGACGTTTTTCATATCAATTGTTATTCCATTATTTATACACTGAATTGACGACGGATTTTTCCCGTTATTTCCTGATCATGACAAGTGTAACGATCTTTAATTATTTCATTATGTTTATTTATATTTGATTCCGTTATTATATAATTAGAGATACATGTAGTATTTTGTTTACGTACCATTGCTCCTCGCGAGCAATGGTCAACTATTATGTAATGACCAAAAACGCATTGCTCCTCGCGAGCAATGGCCTAAAGATATATATAGGGGGGATGTTCTCAGAAAGTATACACTTGCGCAGAATTTGTAATAAGTCACTTACTTGCTGAACTTGGATTACATTATAATTGTTTTAATATTAGGATTATGTGTGTGTGATTCTTGGATGTTACTGTGATTTATTATGATGTGTAAATAATGTAAATAAAGGATCACTTCATTATAGATAGGGATTTGACCTATAAGACAGGACACGTTTTTTTTTCTCTACAAAAACTTGTCGATTTCCGTTCTGATTAATGACATTAGGCTAAATACATCTAACTATTTGTTTTTTCCCAAATCTTTATTTCAGTGAGTAGAGGTAGGAGGAAATTCTTCCATTGATTTTCTGAGTTTGTTATCTCCAAATGTAATAATTGATATTTTTCTTTACTTGCATTGTACATAATGGTAATGTTTACTTCCTCTGAAATTCTATTTTTATGTCTAGGCTATTTTATCCATGAATATAATAAAACTGCCATTAATGTGTGCAAATTATATAGGCCTAAATCAAATCCGAGGGAGTACAGTCACTGATATATGTACCCAAAATCAATGTTATTAAATTCTAAGGAATATATACAATTGACATTCATCGCAGCTCAATGCTGCCAAGGATACCTGTATTGAGTAACAGAGAGTGAGTTATTCTTGTCCTCAGAGAAAGTGTGCTTATACTGAGGTTTGTTCTGCCTGACTGACAACTGTACATTGGATTTTTACGATTTGATTATCTCTTTTATTAATGTTTCTGATATCAAGAATGGCCATGCATAAAGGATAGATAATTGAAGGAAAATACACAAGTCTATAAAAAAGAACTTAAAATAGTCTTTGAAAAGGCGAAAATAAAAAAAATTAAAAGTGTGGTACCAGGTGGATTTGAACCCCCGACTTTAAAATGTTTGTTTACACGGTGTAAAAGTCAGCGCACATATCAAATGAGCTAGTCTGACTATAATATTGATAGGTATAAATTTGAAGCAGATTATGAAAATCGGGTTTCCTTATTTTTTGTAGGTTTTTTGTGAATTTCGACCTTAGGGTAGGGGTGCCCCTAAATAAATCCTATCTTAAATTATTCCTTACATCAAAACCTATCAAAATATCACAATTTTATTTAGGGGCAGGCCTGCCCTAAAGGACTTCTAGGCCAAAATTCATGCAAAAATCAACGCTTTAACGTACAGAATGATGTTTTGGCCAACTTTGGAGGTTAACTGTAAAGTTGTAAATAATAAATTTTAGGTGTAAAATATAAATTTGAAAAATTTAAACATATATACGGTAGTAAACAACAAATAAAGATGAAATTTTAAATGTCACCTTTTCCGGGAAATTATTTTCTCCTATAGGTCAATTCTTTTGTCAAAGCGAATACATCCTTTTAAAACGAACTTAAAACGAACACCTTGTGTTTTCTTAAAGAGTTATACACTGTGAAATAAAAAAAATTCTTAAGGAATTAATTTTCGTTGTTTTTGATGTATAACAAGACCCACGAATTCAAATCCACCACGAAATGTAAAATGTTACATACCTAAGTACTCATTAATTCTTGATCAACGAAATCAAATCCCCACGAACCAAAAGATTTTCCTCAAACCACAAAAATTTGACCCCACGAAAATACGTAATTTTACAGTAAATCATATATAAATAGTTACATAAGAATTCTTTTCTAGTATCCAAACAGATAAGTGAGACCTTGCAATATGTTTTATATGTCGAATCCAGTGAGATACATTTATTTATTTATATCAAAACAACTAAGGGATGAAAATGAATATTGTTATTAGATAAAACGTTGTGGATATATCTCGATAGATCCGTGCATTGAAGAGGCCAAGAAGACCTGGAGTGAAGCGTCACAAAGCTGTAACTTGGTGGTCTCTAACACAACTCTCCGCGTCGGTGTTCCCATTACTAATATCCCTGTTCTCAGACACAGATCGTCTGATCCGATCAACAGGTCTGATGATGTTCATTGGATAGGGGCAATAGGAACTTTCACGCCATGGTTTGAATTAGCAGGTAGTTTGGTGTTCATTATAGATATTTTTTTATTTCCATATATTTGTACTTCAGGGAAGTTTGTATAATTTCTCTACAAATGAACAGATGAGTACAGCTTGGGAAAATATAGAAAAAATTATGAAACAGGAAGCAAAAAAAAAAAAAAGAAATTTAAAAAAAATGAATTCCCGTCCTCCTCCCCGAATGAAATAGAACAAAAACGATTTTTTTTTAAATGAATCAGATAAAACATTGCAGCAATTTGGTTATATTGTAAAAAAAAAAAAAAAAAAAAAGAAAGCTTTCAAGGTCCTGGAAAAAAATTACTCTACATTTACGTCAGTTGAAGTAATTTTTTAAAATTTTTAGGATGCAACCTGTATCGTAGCTTTTTATTCATTAAACAATGGAGGTCTAGTTCAAACCTTGGTCCTGTGGCTCAATGTCATCAAATATGTGAAAACCGGAAAAACAGCTACAAAGAATTCGGAATAAACGTAAGTATATCCATATACGAAAGGATAACTTTCCAAAAACGATTTGTTTTAAATCTATTTATTTTCAAAATGAAATAATTATAGAGTGTAGGTAGTCATAACAATTTTTTTTTTCAAAATCAAATTTCTGAAAGACATCTTTATTAAAGAAAATTACACCAAACCATTTTAAGGGAGTAGGTTTTGGCCAGATTGATCAAATCTATGTAAGAACATACAGGAAAAAATCTTTAAATCAAGAACATCGAACCCATGATTAGTCATATTCATACGAATTGAAGATAAGGAACAGTATTCAATAAAGGATATGGAGATAAGGTACGGTATTCAATATCAAAGTCCATAAAAGAATACAAAATAGGAGTAGATCAAACAAGGACCTCTAAAACAACAGAGGTGGGATCAGGTGCCATGGAGGAGTGACCATCTCCTGTTGACCGGTCACACCCGCCGTGTGCTCCTTATCATGATCGGAAAATAACGGGAAAATCCGTGGTCAATTCCGTGTACAATTAATGGACTAATAAGTACGAAAAAAGTCAGTCAGCATTTGACTCAATGATAAATTAGATTTGCTGCAAGATCATTGTATCGGCCATAGAACTTACAAAATGATGAATGTAAACGAGAATGCTTATATTCTTGTTTCGCCAACTTATTTGTCAATAATTTACCTCGCTTTAGAAATTGATATTTCGCTGATTTAATGATTTGTTTGTGACTTTTATCATTTAAGAAAGCAAACTAGATTTATTAGATTTTTATGAAGTTATTTAAGTTTAACATTATTGAAAAGTCTCAGTTGTTTATCTGATTTCTAAAATTAGATTTTGTTGAAAAACACAACTTGATAATTGTTTCAACAATTACAATAACTGTTATTTGAGGAGTTCGTAAAAATCACTTTATATTTCCCTTTTCATGTTCATAGATATTGAGACCAAACGTTCAAAGGGAAAGACATTAAATAAAATATAACATATTGGATAAAAAAAATTATTGTGCAAATTCATTCATACAGCTTAGGTTAATTTTGTGAAATTGTTAAAGAATTTAAACAAAATTTTATAATTCATTGTAGGAAACGCATTGCTTTTGCTCAGAGGATAATTATGCGGGTGTGATTAAAAATTTGACCTGTCGTCTACAAAATTCAGAAAACGTTAAGAATGACTTGGTCGGAACTGGTAACGATCAGAGATTGGTACCGAGAAGATATGTATTTGCATTGTATAGGAAAATCAAAAATATCACAGAAATAGGTAAAGCTGTTATTCATTGCAAAAAAAAAAAAAAGAATCCGTAGATATCAAAACTGTTAATTCCTTTATTTTGTTTTTCTAACAGAATGAAATAATTGGAGATAACAAACAGTATTTAAGCTCAAAAGTTCATTAATCAAACAAGCAAAATAGGAGTAGAGCAAACACGGACCTCCAAAAATCAAAGATGAGATCAGGTGCCATGGAGGAGTCAGTATCCCCTGTCACATCCGCTCTTGCTTCTTGTCATGATCGGGAAATAACGAAAAAAGCCGTCGTCAACTCAGTGTGTTTAAGGGGCAATATCCCTCTGCTCCAAATTTCACGACATTTTTTTTTTAAATCCAGACATTGATTTTCAGCAACAACTGTAGCATTAAATTCAAATAGAAAATAGTTTGAAGTATGAAGCGTTGCTTACTTTTTCAGAAATGAATAATATGTCAGATCATGATGTGAAGAAAATTTGATATGGTAAATAGAAAGATTAATTATTTTTTATCTCACAATTAAATTAGAAATATGAGGTATATATAAAAATAATATTTACTCTTAAAATAACACGCATCCATAAACAAGAGTTATCGTTCCATTATCGCCCTTGAAAATATTTTTTAATGAAACAAAGTATTAATTAAATGTTTATAAACAATACTGCATCTGAAATTTCTGTACAATTAGAAGAAATATACTTTAAGAGAAAAAGATTTCTCAATTTACACTGTTTAAAGGAACTGAGTATAAATGTTTTAAGTAAACTATTATAGATAATTAATCAATATACTAGCAATAGAAACTAGAAATCAACATTTGTATCATACTATAGGTTTGATTGAGTTGACTATAAAATTGTCCTTATGAATGAAACTTGTAAACTCTGACATGACAATTCACTGAATTTCATGACAAAATGTCTGAAGAAAGTTATCTCTCTTCTCAGAAGAGTTATCTCTCTTATCAGAGGGATATTCCACTTTAAAATAGCCTAACAATCAGTATGAAAAACGCCAGTCCGCATATGACTTAATGATAAATTGTACAAGGTCATTGTATTGACCATAGATCTTACGAAATGATGACTTTAAACAAGACTGCTGATATTCTTGATTCATCAACTTGTTTGTCAATAACTCTCCTTATTTTAGAAATTGTTCATACGTGGAACATACTCTTGCGTATCGAACCAACTGAGATATATATACTCCGTATGCAGGTGATGAAGGTATATTGCCGCTCAAGTAAGGGATGTTGACGATTGAAAAGATAAGGTCATCACGTTTATCAAAGAATTTTTTTGTTAGATTACCATTAACGTCTTTTTCAAGTAAAATATCCAACTATGAAACAATGTGTATGACTCTGTGTCAGCAAATACAATTTATCATTGAGTCAAATGCTGACTGACGTTTTTCATACCAATAGTTAGTCCATTATCTATAAACTGAATTGACGACGGATTTTTCCCGTTATTTCCTGATCATGTCCGTGATTGCTCTGCTCTTATTTTGCATTGTTTTATGGACTTTGAGACTGAATACTGTTCGTTATCTCCATTTTGAGCATTTTGAGAGTATTTAACAGAAATTTCTATTTTTAATAACCATGGCAACACCATTCATTGAAGTGAAAAACTGATATACAGAATTATGTATCTTAGTGTAGTCTACTTGTGTGCCAAGTTATATTGAAATCAGACCAAAACTGTAGGAGGAGTAGCATTTTGAAAGAATTTCACAAAATTTTCTATTTTTAGTAACCACGGCAACACCGTTCATCGAAATCAAAAACCGATACACAGAATTATGTATCTTAGTGTCGTCTACTTGTGTGCCAAGTTATACTGAAATCGGACCAAAACTGTAGGAGAAGTAGCATTTTAAAAAATTGTTTACAGACAGACAGACAAACAGACGGACGGACGGACGACGGATGCATTACTATCGCATAAGCTCTTCTGGTCTCTGACCAGTAGAGCTAAAAATGAATAAATTCATTTATCAAGCCCTTTATGTATTAAATAAATGGAACGATCTTGTGATTTTAAAAAATAATTCTTTCATCAATTAATATAAGAAAAATCAACCTCCCTTTTACGACATTTAAGAGTACCTTGGGGAAGAAACAATCCAAAAAATCTTAAAATCTAAGTTTAAGAATCTGAAGAAATTTTATCACCGAAAAATAAAAAAAAAAAATTATCATTTGCAAAAATGTTAAGTAAGCCGTACACATATTTTTCAACGTGCCTTAACATGATCAATATAAACGCATCATGAAAAGAAATACTATTTTCAGAATGCGTTACTTGCTACTAAAATTAACAGATTTTGAACTAGTTTTTCAATTAAAATGCATATTTTTTCAAAGTGCGCTTTAAGAAAGGTAATGAAAATTTCTCGTAATTAGACATTTTCACCTATAGAAAAGATTTTCCCCAGGAAGTAAAATGTGCTTAATTTTGTAGCTTGAATTGTTCGACATATGTATGCTAGGCTTTTGGAAGATTATTTCGTTCAAAGTTGATACATTGAATAGCTTGGAATATGTGTACATGTATATGTAATGCTTTCAGAAGATTATTTTTTCTTCACAGATGATAAATTAGGCGAGTGTCTGATGGAAACAAAGAAAGGAAATAAGACGTATCCTTGTGATGCAGCAGGTTTGTCATGTCAATATCGAATGGATCTTCTAATTAATGTATCTGAATTGCAAGAAATTCATCGTAACAGTTTTATTGTTAGACATTACACAACGTACGAGGGTAGAAAGATACCGACATAAGACAAATAACAACAGTCTTTCAAGATGGAGACCTTATGTTCGACGATTAATTATAAGCTGGAAGAAAGGTAAGAACACAATATTGACTTGAAACTTTTATGTAAACAATTCCATAAAATGCTAGACGTTTTGGCATGTGTATTTTTATGCCATATGAAGTAGACTGCAACATATCACCATCAAAGATATAGCATTATATCCTCTATCAAGGAATGACGAAATTTTTTCCCATTCTCCAACTTGTGAGTCCCTATATTTAGGATTTCATGTATTTGTAGTTCTGGCTTTTACCCCTTTAACAACACAAATATAAAAGTAATGTAAGACTGAATTTATTGTTAAAGGTTTTATTAATGATATCTGACCCCCTCTTGTGTTTCCAAGTCCAAGTTCTCTATGCTCTCAATTTGTTTTTTTTTTTTTAACTTGTAACTTTATAACTGTTTTTTTCCAATTCATAATAACACCATCATATTTCGTGTTTTACATATTTCTACCAGATATCAGTGCTGAACAGAAAGCTTCAGTATGTATAGCAGTCCGTTACCAGAATGGCTCTTACGAACTCTTACCTCGACGCTGTGACGAAACTCATACCTCCATATGCAAGAATGCAGGCACAACGACAGGTTACTGTATAATTTCTCTTACGTTTTTATAGATGTTTAAAGCCCTATAAAAAGCAAAAAAAATATTGTAAGAAACAAGTAAAATAAAAGAAAAAGAACGAACAAAAATGAGAAGAAAGACACCCCCCCCCCCCAAGAAAAAAATCAAGAGAAAAATGCTCCGAAAACCTAATAATACTTGATAGTTTTGGTGTGTACTATAGTGCATGCATATCCTGTTCACTGAGTGATATATATTTTATATTCAATATAGGTAGGGTACAGATACCATAATTACATAACATTTATTTCATATTTTTGAAAATTTTAAATAGCTGTATATATTTTTTAAATTTAGGTACAAATTCACCGAGGACGTCCAATTCTAACTTGGAAACAGAGAGAGGACAAACAACTGTTGTTCATCAGATAGAAGGTTCGTCATTGTACAGCTGCAACTTAATATAACATATAAAATTAATATAACATATAATTGTTTTGATAAGAAGTTGTGGACCAGAACAATGATAAAAGGCTTCCTTCTCGAGTTTATTTGGGATGTATAGAAATAGAAATATTATTTTTGTTATTTATGAAAAAAAAAAATCTTGAAATCAAGATTCGAACTTAAAATGAAATCGATTACTTTTTTCTATTAACAGTTTAATTTTCTTTCAATTTCTTTTTTACCGAATGTATATCTTATGCATTATATATCTTTTAATAATAAATATTAACCATTTCTAAAGCTAATAACTGATTTTGATTTAACACAGATACAACTACACAGCATACCACAAGCTCTGATCTCAAATCATCTATGAGGCACACGACATTTGTGCACAACATGACATCTACCACTTCCATTAATCGCCACAGGGACAAGGACAGTTAAATTATTTCCTAACTAATTTTTTTGACAAGGTTTCATTTAAGATATTTTCTCTTTTGGCATATGTTGCCTTTATACTTGGAATTGATATGTCGATACGATATATCCTGGTGAGCTTGAGATTAAAGATACCACAGAGTCTGACAAATCTGTTTCATATTTGGATATTTTATTTGAAAAAGGCGTTAATGGTAATCCAACAACCGAGCTCTTTGATAAACGTAATAATTTTAACTTTTCTATCGCCAACTTCCGTTAATTATGCAGCAATATACCTTCATCCCCTGCATACGGAGTTTATAAAATCTCAGTTGATTCAATACTAAAGAGCATGCTCTACGTATGAACAATTTCTAAAACGAGATAAATTATTGACAAACAAGTTGATGAAACAAGAATATCAGCAGTCTCATTTAAAGTCGTCATTTTAAGTTTTATCGTTGGTACAATGACCTTGTCATCAAATATAATTTATCGAGTCAAATGTTGACTGACTTTTTTTCATACTTATTGATAGTCCATTATTTATACACTGAATTGACGACGGATTTTTTTCGCTATTTCCCGATCATGACAAGCAGCTCACGGCAAGTGTAACCAGTCGGCAGAGGATGCTTACTCCTCCATTGCACCTGATCCCACATCTGATATTTTGGGGCTCTGTGTTTGCCCTGCTCATATTTTGTTTTGCTTTATAGACTTTTCTTTATCTTCCTATGTTTCATTTCATCGATTTAATATTGTAACCATAAAAAACAGCATGCTCTGCTTTAAAATTAACCTTTCATGCTCCACAGAACACATGCATCGCATTTTCTCGGATATTACATTATCAAAATACAGTTCAGATTATACCGCAAAATCTGTTAATATTGAAAAAAAAATTGTGATGATTTTTTAACCTGGAACTTAAACAAATGGATATCAAACAAAACACAAACATTTAAAAATTACAATTTGATAAATATCTATATAGGTTTATATGGAATTATTAATTTTTTCGTTTGTTTTACTTCCTTTTTGAATCTTTAAATCATACGCAATTTAGTACCAGTGGACAGATGTGTACAAGTTCAAGTTAAGTTAATTCACTCATTCCAATTTATGGTAAATGAGGTTCTATGTACAATATATACAAAAACAATATACACGATAAACGTGAAATGGCGAAAATACATCCAAATTATAAAGTTAGCAACAAAAATTATTATGAAAAGTAGACTTGTTCTATGTTTATGTAGCTTGCGTTTTTACATTCTGAAAAAATAATATTGCAAAATATAGTAATAATCATCTGCTGTTTGTCCATTATAACACAACTTTTGAAGTCTTTCATTATTTTTTTTCTTTTTTTCTTTTTTTTTTTTGGATTTCAAACTATCTTCGTCTCAACTAGGAAACAATGATTTGCTTACCCGGTAATTCGAAAAACATTGTTCGAATTTTTTTTGGTAAAAAATCTACATATTTTTCAAATCCTGTTCAGAAGATGCTTTACATTTGACCTTTAGACGACGTATGTACAGATCTTTATGACGTTCAACTATAGTTTTTAGCCATTTTATATATATAAAAAAGGCCTGTTCATGTCATACACTTGAGAAGACACAAGTCTCAAGTATATTCTTAATGCATGAAATCAAAGGGGTATTATGACTTCCTGAATAAAATTCTCAAAATGAATGCTGTCATGAAGTTCTTTTGGGTTTTGTGCGGGCAGTTGAGAAAACGGTAAGCCGTAGAATAAACAAAAAAAATTAATTTAATTTAATAAAAAAAAGCAAATAAATAATCAAAACAAACTCACTCTCACGCACCCTCAATCACAAAGAAAACAAAACATAACTTTAAATTGAAAACCAGATAATATTGACAATGAAATAAAGATTTAACTTTACATAATCAATTGTCAACAAACAATTGTTGCTTTCAAACCATAAATTGTAACTTTACTTGAAACAATCACATAGAAAAATCAAAACTGTATTAATTTAGTTTTTGCAGAAAAAAATCACTTTTTAATAAACAAAATCTGTAAATATCAAATCCGTTAAATATCAAATTTAATTCTTATCAATGTTTTATTTCTTAAAGGAGACTTTAACGTTTGGCTATTTCATTCATTAGATTTTACACCACTGGGCCTCCATACATCGAACACCGCCCCTCTGATTCCAGCCCTGGACTCACAGGTCTCCCACTGGAGAATTCAGTCCCTATAATTCAGTCAGGAACGACACCTAATCTATATAAACACTGTCCTTAGCAATTCCACCTAGAAATGAAAAAGAATTCGACATTCAATTTTTGATTTCTGAGTAAGTCCAGATGATGAAAGGAATAAACATTCCTTGTTATAAAATTATACAGAATAAAGTCAACAACGTCTGTGACCCAGGAATATATTTCTCATATTTGCATACTCCAGTTTTTTTGTTTTTTTTGAGCTAAAAATAAAAGTGGTATGATCTTGACATACACGAATACAACGAAACAGTAGTTAAAACCTTTTTTCCGGCACTTATATTGTGCAGTCTTTTCTTGCTTTACAGTGCAGTTTAATTGTCGCATCTTCGCTATATACTCATCATTTTTGAAGTCATTTCTGTACAGATATCTTAAAAGAAACACATGATTTTGACTCATTGTGTTACTTTAAAAATAGTCAAAGTACTGAAAGTACTGGGAAGCGCTAAGCATGGTTCAACTAAACCCGCCTCTTGATCGCCTTGACTGTTACGTTAAATAACATCGAATGTAAGTTGTGATACTATAACAAAGTCTAAAAATTGAAGAAAAAAAATTAACCAAGAGAATCTAATTTACTATCCCTGTGCAATCTTATTAAAGAAAGTGATTTTACTTTTTTAACCCTTCTGTCGCACGATAGGACAGTAACACTCTTACCCGTCTGAAAAACAAGATTACCTATGTTGCATTGTGGATCCAGGTTTCTGCGATAAAATTGAATTAATATAAATATTACAATCCGATTTTTTTCTTCTGACTTACCTCATTTCAGATTATGTATATAGCTCTGCATTAGTTGGAAAGTTTTCTTTTTTGTTTTTGTTTTTTGTTTTGTTTTTGTTTTTGTTTTTTTGGACAAATTTTGAATACAAAAAAAAAATGTTGCTGATATCCTTCTCTGGAATGTAAAGTGGAGAACACAAAACCTTCTAATGAAATTTTGAACAACGAATCATTCTACTCTCAAGAATATGAAGAATATTATTCATATTAAAATTCAAAATTGGCTGTCGGCATCTTTATTTGTTATTATCGGCCGCAGGGGTGATCGATCTATTGGTGATTGTATTTGAAAGTGTACACGGAGAAATGAGATATTATTTTTCATTTGTTCCATCCTTAATGATAAAATATACTGGTATTATAAATTAACGATTTTTAAAATAAGACATAATATTTTGTTTGAACGGTTTTTATTATTTTGATTTTTTTCTCCTCTTCATAAATATTTATAAAGTTATAATTTATATAAATAAGGTTTTACAAAATGAAAATTCCTAGTATAGTAGCTTGTAATATATACACACAATCATTACAAGTTTATGGTTATATAAATAATGAATAAAAATTGAACTTTTAAATTTTGTTTTGAATATGCTACACTTGAATAACATGATGTTACATTTATTGTGATACCAATCTAACCTCGCGCAGCATGTTGCTATCATCATGTAACAAAAATCCCCGAAGACTTTACTTCATTTTTTCAGATTACTTTGCTACATGTAAATATCAATTTTGGGTATAAAGATATTGCATTTGTCTTTTTGTCATTTTGATGAAAAACCATTATTATCCTTCAAACAGGTACTTGTGGACAGGACCCCCCCCCCTCAATATTCAACCCCCGGGCTTGTTGGACATTTTTTCACAAATTATATTTATTACACTTATTCATCATGTGCACAATATGAAAGGGGAAGTCCTGTCCACAAGTACCTGTGATCTTTCATCTATGACTCTCACACACATGAATTATAATTTATTTTTACTGAAATTAATAAAAAAAATTTTGGTCATTCTGTTTCTCGTGCTATATTTAAAGCCGATTTGTCAATATTTCTTTTTAAAATAAAAAAAGTTAAATCAAATACTCTTCTACTAAGAAAATAATATCACATTAAAATTCGTTCGTATTTTTCTTGAACTCATTTTGGCGAAAATACTTTAAAATGCTTCAGTTTTTTACTATCATGTAAAACAGGTTGACAGAAAGTAATAGCCACAACACCCATGTAATGAGACTACAAAATGTAGATACAAACTAGATATAGAACCTAATAAAATAATTTTTTTATGGAATTATACTTCTAAAAGATTTAATTCCAATTTGATTTTTTAAACACTCATTGAAATCTTAATGAGACTTTTAAATACACGTGCGCATAAATATATAAACATGTATGGTAATTTACTTTTTCGAATTACCACTGCAGAAATAAGATTTGTGAAATATAATTAGTGTTTGCCAGTACTTATTAATACGCACCATATTGTTCGGAAATAAGAACCGCCCTTATCCACTAACGCAGGATTTTTGAACATACGAAAATTAATATCGATTGTACTAATTAACACCTATTATGATAACTCCTACACTAAAGTAGCCGACAGAGGGTCGGGGATTTCCAGTTGTATATTTTTAGACGACTCGGTAGAGTTACATAACTTGCTAAGTGGTGCTGTATTTCGTAGGCTGTCTAAACACTTTAAAATGTATCACTCCGCGTTATAGAGTTCGTCATTTTGAGAACATATTCAACATAATATACATTATTTAAAAATATATATATAATCACCTTTAAAAAGAACCATATTACACCACGGAGATAATTTAGGTCAACAACAGTAGCCCTTGCAAAGGCATTATAGAACCCATTTGTTTACATAATTATATCAGTATTTATAGAGGGCGCGTTCAAGATCTTAGTGCTAGATGAATATTAAGTACAGATACGAAATTTGAACAAGAATAGCAGTCACGTAAAAAATATACATTTTAAATACTTATGCCTAGTTTGAAATCCTGCAATCCTACTTGGATTTACTTTGTATCACGCGACATGCTGTATATATTACCGGTGTACTAACTGAAGGAATTAATGTTCTCTATCTAATCGTAAAATCTCACACCTTCAATTTTTGCATGCTTTTTCCATATATTAGTTATAAATGAAATGATTGTATAATAGAATTTTTTTTAACATCTTACGGGTAGACGAGCTGTCTTTTCAAAACAACTGGGTATATAGCAATATATTAAACTACGCTTACGTTTACTAGCAACTACGGTATTGAATGCAGACCCGATAAATGTGGTCGGTAGAGGGCGTTGATAAAAAGATCGTGAAAATCATCATGGAATCTGAAGACACCCTATAAATCGCTTGCGCATGCGCGCTTAGCGCTTAAAAATAAAAATGCAATCAAACCATTTATTTCTCGTTCTTTCAATACAATGTATATTCCATTGCATGAAGGATATGATATGGAGATAACGAAAAGTATTCAATATCAAGGCCAATAAAACAATACAAATTGGAGCAGAGCAAACAAGGACCATGCCAAGAAATCTCGTGCACCGATGAAGTCAATAAAAGCGTAATTGATGCAAATCACCCATATTCCCCAAACGCTGTCCAGCAAGACAATTTACGGCAGCAGATTTCGATTTGATTTTAGGGGGATGGATCCTAGGTTTTCAGCTTTCTTAGTTAAGAAAAACTTGATACATTCCACCATTTATTTCTATCAGTGATATTTTTACATTAAAGCCATATATGGCGGAACTGATCAAAAAAATATATTTTTGAAAAATACAAAATTAAGTAAAGAAATATAGTTGATACATTTAAATTAAAGCTTTTCATACAATTCTGAACACGGAGAACACCTCGTTTCATCTAATAATACGATTTTATCTTCTCTGTAATATGTTATTTAAATCTTTTGTATTTTCTTCCGAGTCGGAGAAAATTCCGAGAATCCATATTAAATTGTGATATCTTTATAACGCAATTGAATTAGATTTTGTAATTTACAGAAAAGTTCTATCTTTATATAAAGTAATGATACAAATAATAAGTTCTTATAATTTTAGTCCAATAATTTTTATTGTACATACGCCATATATGGCTTTAAAATGAAAATATTAACATAGCCAATTAGGTTGCGTCTAGGTATCAGACCGGCAATTGTTTTTACTTTAAAAAAATTGTTTTAAAAAATCAGGTAATTGTTTACTTGAAAAAAATATTAAGTAGGTGTTAAACATTACCTGTCACACTTGCTGACACACCCTCACACACAAAACGGTACCTACACGGCATTTTCTGACTTTTTCCATCTGCAAAGAGGGCTACCCTCAAATCCACGTGTTTTTTAATGTGTTTATAAACATTCCGAGTGCATCACAGGAAGTAGCCTCCTATGCCCGGAAAAAAATAGTTCCTGTCAAAAACCTTTATTTGTTCAAAAGTACATAAAATTTACTAGACACAAGTACCAAAGTTGTAAAAATGGCTTGGAAGAGAATAGAAAAACGTCTCAAAAGAAAGGAAAATCAGTTCTATATGTATGGACCTACATTTGATAAGTTCAATTTGATTGGTCAATTACCGGTGTGACACTTCTACCCATTTAGTACTCCTCTCCCTTCTTGTTTTACCAGGAAATGATGTCAACTTCCGGGAATAAACTAGCAAGTTCATCGTACCCTACGTTAATTTATACTAAGGAAAAAAAAATTATATGGAAATACGTAAAAAATTGAAAGACAGCTTATTTCTACTGACGAATTAGTTTACTATACCGGTAATTAATAATTTTTATAACTTTCTTTTTCTTTAATTTACTTTTTTTTACAGTATTTATTTAATAAGACCCCCCCCCAAAAAAAAGGGTGCACAGGCTTCTAAATAATTAATTTTGTACCTATGTTTTAAACCCTGTAAAACTTAAGATCCCTCCCTCAAAACTACTGACATTAATTGCCTCGCCAACATCTCTCGGGGGAGTTTCACAGATTAACGTTAATTCGGCTTTTATTGAGTTCGTTCTACGGATAGCATGCTAAGGTTTCCTTGGCATGCTCCAAAACATCGAAGGTGGGAACAGGTGCCATGGAGGAGTGAGCATCTCCTGCTGCATGTGTTTCCTATTGATTGAATAGCTCTTTCTCCGCATAAAAACATAAGTATTCAGAATTTTGAATAATTGTTAACTTTGCAGGTACAACTACACCACGTACTACAAGATCTAGTTACGGAACATCGAGGGGACAATCGACGTTTGGGCAACAAATAACGGACTCATCTCCTGTTGATCGTCATAATGACAACAACGGTTACTATGCCAACTAACTTCATACTTTATACTTTTTGACTGTTTACATATAGAGAGTCTCTACCAACTGGCTTTATGTCAAGTTTAATTAAGAAACGTTTGTTTTTTAAAAGCAACTTTTGGAGAGAAATAGAAATGCTATTTTTTCTCTCGTTTATATGGACTTTGTATTAACTCAAATTATTTTAATGACATGCAAATTACAAAATACAAGTAAGATAAAGTTGTTTTGACTTTACCTCATTGTTATCTTCTCTTACAGCTATATTGTGTGCAAAATATTTAATTTTTTCCGAAAGCAATTCGGAAATAATTAAACCATTGGTTCCTTGGACGTTTTTAAAATCTCGTTTATCTGTAAAACGTTTATACCTAATAAAAATATTTCTATTAACTTTGCAGAGCCACCAGATTCCACACTGCCTCTGATCATTGGAAGTGTTGTAGGAGGCCTCCTATGTATCGTTATTGTCGGTATTATCATCGTCATTTTCATCAAAAGAAGGTATTATATACGAATTTATCTTAATTAGTGGTATATATTATTTCGTTACAACTCTTAAGGTAGTCCGATCCTCAGGTTTATAAAATTAGCAGTTAAGTAATCAAAAATACTTATAAAAGTATCTCTGAATCCACAAAGTTCTGTAATTTTATCAACAGTATTTCTTTAAAGTTAAAGATCAAAGTTAATCATATTAAATAGGGAAAATTGTCAAATCTCCAATATTTTTGTAGAAAAAGCGAATTGGAATATCAGCAATGCATTTTCTAATGGAAAATTAATCAGCAAATATATTTAGGCTTAAAAACGATAGGTATCGATGCATTCAGAGAAATTGTCATTATTTTTATACTTATTTGGTATTTTTTTTTTGTATTCTATTTCCTCCATGTATTCTATATTTCATAGTGTAAAAGGCTTTTGCTATCATTGCAACACACCATAAATCACTTCCCATTTCATATCATGCTAATAAGCATCGGTATCTAAGGCTGGCTTCAAGAAAGTCTTATTTCTCTAAAACTTTATTCATTTTTTCTCCTTTGAAAGGGTACAAATGTCAACTTTTGTAAGACCTTTTCTAAAACTTCCAAATACCTTAAGATGAATAAAATGAAAATTGTTGCATGAAAAAAAGTCATTTTCAAGCTTCATTTTGATCCATTTTAAATTAAATGTTAATTTTTGAAGTTATCCTTTCTGGCTGAGGATCGGATATCCTTAAAATTCTCATGCACCTTTTGTTGTACAAGTATTAGAAAAGTGTGAAACAGCAACAAGGAACGTGAAAAATAATTACAAACAATACCTCAGCGAACAGTGGATTACATACATGCCGTTGCGTTTGAAAAATAAATAATTTCACACGTTAAAAGTCACAATCAGGCAAATATAAAGTATGAATAAGTCACAAATGTAAATATAAGTAATAAGGTATCATTTTAAAATATCTATCGGGCTGTAAAACGGGTATTTATACTCACCGTCAATGAAAACGCAACACTCTAATTTTAGGGTGAAAAATTATATACGGGATATAACTAAGTACCAAACAAGTAAGGACATTTTTTACTTTGCCAAATCAGTTATTTAATGGTTGAATGGTTTTCAATCTATTACCGAAAATTGATTTTTTAGCCCTCTTAACAGATAACATTTAAATAAAACACCCCCTTCCGACCATTTAATCAAATCATGCTAGTCCGCCATGAACAACATACATGTACGCAGTCCGATTTCTACCATACATTAGGTTTATCAATGTCTTTATCTGAGCGAAATAAATATTCTTGGGCATTTTTAATCGCCTGTTGTTCAGATACTGCGGTCGAATTTTCTCTAACTTGGCGTAGTGTAGTAACTTTTGGACTTCCGGTTAAGAAACTGTTATTTATGCTATTGAAACACATGAGCCTGATGAGTCGTTAAATAGTGTACATTTGCATCTGCAGCTTTTTTTTCTTCTTTATTTTGAGAATCTCCAGCATTAGCAATGAAAATCAGTCATTTTGAGGAAATATAAGCATCACACCAGGTAAAGAAAGAAGGAATTTTTTCCCGGGATTTTAGTACAATACTTATGATTAACAGCTACAACACCTTGAAAACCCAAAATATTGTTAAAAATTTTATTAAAAATGCAAAAATTTGATTTCTGTTAAGAGGGCTAAAAAGCAACTTCCGGTAGAGGAAATAAATTCATTCAACCGTTAAATAACTTATTTGGCAAAGTAAAAGATGTCCTAACCTTTTTGGTACATAGTTATAACCCGTATATACTTTTCACCCTAAAATTAGAGTGTTGCGTTTTCATTGACGGTGAGTATATAACCCGATAGATGTTTTAAAATGATATCTTATTTTTTAAATGAGTTCTTTCGGGATAATTTGCCCTTTATAATGTGCTTTTCATTTTTTTTAAATGGCAAATTCCTACTCTATATAAATTTTCCCTTGAAAAATATTTTTTTTGAAAGAATTTTGCTTATTTTATGTTATTTATTTTGCCAGGCGTCCAGATAGAAAAGAGATATATCACCCTACTCCGACAGAAAAAGTTCATTTCAGAGAAATGAAAGAAGACAGAAAACCGCATTTATCAATGGAGAAAGAAGAACCATCACCTACTGAAAACACAATAGACTACGATACTATGATGTCTGTCAAAAAAAGGAAGATAACTGAGGACTCTAAAGAGTATGGGAAGTTGGTGCCTAATGGTGAGGCAGACGTGTATAATCACACCTGGGATAAACCAATCACAATACAGCTTACAGATTATGTGTATAGCTCGATAATGTCCGGAAATGACGCAAACGTGTATGATCACTGTTACTAGTAATACAGTTATAACTAAAGAAATTGAAGAAAAAAAAAAACAATATTAAACAGAAATGATGACAATTTGTATGATCAAACAGATACTAATAATACAGAATTAACTTAAGTCGGTGATGAAAATAGAGCATTGTCAATTAAAATGAATCATTGTATCATCACACAAGCTAAATATTTAGACAAAATCGAAGGCTGGAAAGTATGGCTAACAGATTTTAATTTTAGTAATTTTAGTTTTTTCATATTCGACCATCATATGGAATATGCTAACTTACTGAAGTTCTCACTAAAGAATTATTTTGCCAAATTGCAAACAAAACAATGTCTATAAACGTTATTAAAAAAAAACTAAGACAAACCAGTTATTCTAGAAATTATTAATTATCACTCACTTTTGTGTAGTTTAATTACGTCAGGTTTTATTTTGCATCAATATCTTTTCAATTTTGAAAGTTAAAGATTTCAGGGATATACATTTATTATTTATGCGGAAAAAAGCGAGATTCATTTTATGCATAAAATGGCCCTGTACTTTTATCAGTTAATTAACTATCACCATCTTTCCATTTCATATATCAAAATAAAGTAGACACTTGGTGTCTACTTCCTATTATTTCCTATCATTACCTATAATAACATTTCTTTTTGAGAATCGAGATATTGGAAAACAGGCTTTGAGAAATTGCAATGTTCTTGAAATTTGCAGAAAACATGCGTATTTGACTACCTTCAGCAAAGAATTAAAATATAAGCACGGCTCACAATCCAAAAAAAAAAAAACCAAACATGTTTTTTGATCGTCAGAAACAGATCTTTCATTATGTTTTTTTTTTTTTCATATTTTGTAGCAGAGGTTGTGCTCTATATGAAATATTGTAAAAGAATACAACTATAGGCCATTTTCAAAGGAATTTACAGGATATTAGGAAAATGACGCATTTAATGACGTCATAATGCATTGACTAGGAAGAAAATTACGTCATGATTAATAAATACGTTGTCACCAACAATTCAAGTGATAGCTACTGTATTTTCAACCTAAACATAGCGGTTTTGATTTTTCAGTAATTCGCAGGACCAAATAAGGCCAAAAGTGGCTCTTTCTCTTTCAATACCCATCATTTCTAAAAAGATTATGTTTATTGGCAGTCCAAAAGTTTTGACTTATGATTTGAATGATTACTGTTTTACGCGTTTAGAATGAGTTACAATTTATCCCTTGTGGTTAATTAAAAAAAATGATTTTTATGTTGTTAATATGTATCGTTATTAATATTGAAATTTTTTTTAAAGTTCTGTATTAAAAAATGTACTTGTTGTTCTAAAATTGGTGTTTTTTTTTATGTTTCTGGGTCTTTAAGTATCAAAAAACGATATAAATTATTTGCAATTGTTAAAAAACTTGAAAAACAAGATGTGTTTGTGAAACACAATGTCCCCCTATGGCAGATTATGGTGAAGATAGAAATTTATCAAATGTAAGTCAAAATCCAAATCAAGGTCAACAAGTCAAAAAAGGAAGGTTTTGTCGAAAGGTGATATGAAAGCTCTAATATAAACTATTCAAAAGTTATGGCCAAGATTAAAGTTTTTTTTGTTAAAATTGTGTCAATCCTTAAGGTCAAAGTAAAAAGAAAATGTGAACCCTTTGAAATGTCTTGTTTCAATAAAAGCAAATGTGAAGTACTAAAGCCATAGGACCATCTATTCAAAGGGTATGGTCAAGGTTAAAGTTAAGTAGTTTTTTTGTAAAGGTCGGTCAAGCTCCAAGGTCAAGAGGTCAAATTAAATACGCCCAAAAGAAAGTTACAAGAAATACACATAAATAACATACATATACCTATAGAATATACACGTAACATGAAAGATATAGCTTCACACACTCAAAAATACTAGGCAAGGTTAAAATATTTGCGGAAAACAGACAGACGGATTCACATGACAAAACTATAAACTCCCGAATCTAGGAATATAAGATGCAACTTTCCAAATAGTCAATTTTTAATGGTGACAGAACATTATTCGTCAAAAAAATATGAAGGGAAAACTTCGACACCTTCACGCAGAATGGATACAGAGTTTTAGAATGTATAAACAATCATATCAGACATTTTAAAGGCAAATGCACACCATCTTTCCTCTAGATCTGTTTTTTTTAAAAATTTGAGGGGATAAAAGAATTTAACTTTCAGGATGTAAGAACAAAATATAGAATAATTTCTTTTGCAAAGCAGAAACAACTTATTTTAAGATTTCCCTCTACAATTCAATTTAAGACATTAATTGCTCCAAAATAGATATTAACTGAGTCTTCGTGTTATATCACACCCATCATAATTATTGAACGGAAATGATCACCACTGAAAAAAGAAAACTTCCTTATTTGACATAAACATTTATTTTTATTTGGTATATAGAGACAATGTGTCTGCAGTTTTAGTGTTGGTACACTATGGTGCCAAAGAAAGCATTTTATTTTATTAACGAGTACGTGAAAAATAGGGTCATCATCGACAAAAAAGTTGTTTGATTAAACAATTAAACCCGTGTTTATGGTTAAAAATTGAAATTGACGACATCAGGGAAAACTAACCTCAAGACCAGCAATGAAACCCCACTTTCCTCGAGTACTTGCCTTTTTCCTAGTCTGGATTCTATTACAAAAGGCTGATTCTTTACTTAAAACCGGCAGAAAAGGTAGGATTATTTTAGGAATTTTATTTCTTATGGTAGAATTTTGAATGATAACAAAAACATCAGAACATATGAAAATTATACGACTCGATAAAATTGTGAAAATCGTACTTTAACAAAATCAATTCCTCGTAACAAGCCTTAATATCAAATTAAAGTCAAACAAAATACAAATTGACAAATAATAAAAGCAGAATGTTTTTATCTTGAGTATAATTTGGTACATTTTGTCCTGATTAGGATATTATTTGGAGAAGATCCTGAATAACTGGACACAGGCGTCAGATAATTGTAACTTGCTCGTGTCCAATAGGTCCCTCTTCCTTGGTCTATCAATCACAGACATTCCAATTCTTAAACCCACAACCTCCACACAATCTATTGGGCGTCAACCGAGTGATCTTCAATGAATAGGAGCTACAGGGACATTCACACCATGGTTTGAATTGCTGGGTAATTAAATGTTTATTAAGGATTTTTATCTTACTGTAGCTTTATTGTAGGCTCTTTATTCATGTGAATGTTTGCTTTTATAAGAACTGGCCATTGGTGTCTATCTAGATAAATTGATATTTATGAAAGATACATATTCTTGTATAGCTATATACATATATATCATATTTCATCTCCGTGAACTTGAAATAAAAGATACTACAAGAGTTTGACACATAAGGTTTAATATATACTAGGTACTTAAATATGTAAAGATGTTAATGATATCATCCACTGTTATAACTAAGTTTTAAGATTAACGTGATTACTTCAATTGTTGCATATTAACTCAACTTCCTTAATTTATGAGGTTGACGTTTCATACTTGATATTATACTCAAGTACATATTCTGCATGTGGACGATTTCTAAAACGAAGCAAGTTATTGTAAAAAAAAAAGCAAGATGATGAAACATGGATATCGATATCAACGGTCTCGGTTAAAGTCATCATTCGACAATTTCTATCTTTGATACAATGACGTTATCAGCAAATTCAATCTATCCTTGAGTCAATGTTGATTTACACTCTTTATTTGAATTGTTAGACCATTATTTACTCACTTAATCGTTTGCAGATTTATCGTTTGCCCAATCATGACATGAAGCACACTGCTGGTGCATGTGACCGACGGCAGGGGATACTTACTCCTCCATGGCACCTGATCCCACCTCTGATGTTTAGAGATCGGCATTTGCTATTCTTCCGATTCGAATTTTTTAATGGATTTTAGAGCTTGAATACTGTTTGTAATCGCCATATTACATTGTCTAAATAAATGTTCTTGAATAATGAATATACATGGAATTTAATCCTTCCACAAGTTTCTATAGCACGCACATTAAAACGCAACTTATTACACCTGTGTAAAGTACCTATGATATATACTTTATCAAAAAACATTGCATGAAGTATGAACAATGAGATCTTCTAAAAGTAGATCAGTTTAAGTCTCCAGGACTTCATAAATCTTTGAGCAGGTCTTTGCAATTGCTTGCTCCAAAGATACTACTTACTTTAAATGTTTTCTTTTGATTCCAGGTTGCTTTCTGTATAGATTCGTGGAGAAGAACGCAAGTATTACGGATGCCACATCAAAAATCAGCCTCTTCACTAAGTGCTATCAAATTTGTAAAGAATATTCCTTATTTGGGATAAATGTAAGTACGAATACATGGTCCATGTATCGGCCATAGAATTTACGAATTGTTGACATTAAACGAGATTGCTGATATTTTTGTTTCACGAGTGTGTCTATCAATAACTTACCTCGCTTAAATTGTAAATACGTAGAACTTGCTCTTCTGTATCGAATCAACTGAAAAATATAAACTCCGTTTGCAGGTGACACATTCATTGATGAATGAAAAATAACATAAATCACAAAACCAAAACTGGGAATAAGAAGACTCCACATATGACATATGTTTGATATTCCTGAGGTTATTAGAGGGGCACCAAATAAACTTTACATTATTCTTTGCTTGACATTTTCCCTTGACTTGCTGGAATAAAAATATACAGCATTCAAATCTTAAATGATTGTATTTTTCGAAGTTTTCATTTTTTGTAGAATGCAATTTGTTTTTGTGCAAATAATGCAGCTTTTGGAAAAATACACAATGGCACGTGTGTATTGAAAAATTCCTTCAGTATCAAGAACGATATAATTGGAACAGGCAACACCGTTAATAGTTACCATGCATTTGCTGTTTATAGAAAAGTAGAACGTATCACAAATTTAGGTAAATTTTTTTATTTAAATAACAAAACAAAGTTAAAGATTTGTTACATCCACTAATCATTTAATCAATAAACTATCTTTAAATCCTCTTTTTGATAAAAAAAAAAAAACAACAAACTTTTGATTACGAAAAAATGATATTCTTTTTTTTTTTGTTCTCAAAATATTTTGAGAGTGATATGCATCTTTGAAATGTTTACTGTACTGCACTGTTACTCTACTACAAAAATATTTCAACAGTTACTAAACTTGGAATTTGAAACATGTGTAAATAAAATTAATAATAACTAAAGGTAGTGACAATTGTTCTTTACGTGATCGGTCGGCAGGGGATGCTCACTTCTCTATGACACCTGATCCCACCTCTGATGTTTGAGAAGACCGTGTTTGCCATGCTCCTAGTTTGTATTGTTCAATTGGTTCTTGAGTTAAATACTGTTCGTTATCTTCATATATTTCATGCATTGTGCTTAAAGCATTATGCATCATTGTAATATGACAATGCTCCAAAAATGCTTATCCCTTCAAACTCCTTAAACGTACCCTTTACAAATTAAGGTTTCTTCAGCAATCTACCACATAACTTTTGAATATCTAAGGAAATTATTTATCTCCTAGAAATATACTCTACTTCAACAACTGAATATTTTATTTTTGTGAACAGGTTCGATACAGCATCAACATAAATCCTTTAAACATTGTTTTTCTTTGTAGAAGATACTCTAGGTGAATGTCTGATAGAGACTGTCAATGGAAATGAAACGTTTCCTTGTGATTCAGCGGGTATGTTGTCATTGCTATTATCAAACGTTCTGCAGAATTTCTCAAAATGACTTGATACTGCCTTGGATATGGTAAAACTCATAGTTTCGTTGTATAATCATAGACAACACAAGACGTACATGGGCTGAAAGTTTTGCCAAAAGCACATATTTAAATGGAAAGAAAATGAACATTCTTCCAAGATGGCTGCCTTTTGTTCGACGGTTAATGATAAACTGGAATGATGGTAAGAAACGTTGACATTTTTTAAAAGCGGGGGTTACATGTAGAATGTTAATATTGTTAACATTTAGATATTTCGACGATGTATTATAAATTAACAAGAATAACTTTCATCTTTATGTCGATTGGTTATTTCCCAGTGAAGTTCAAATTAAAAAACACCTTCAAGTATGCCGCATCTCTTTCAGATTTGGGTGTTTATCAGCTGTAGATGATAAGGTCTAACTAAACTCTATTTGTATGACAAACGTTTAGTTTATAACTTTCTTTTTCCACCATCATCAACATTCCTTATTGCTGAAGTAAATCCTATGTTGTTTTTTTTTTTTATATAAAGACAGTATTTAGTGGATATTATTATTGTTAAAATGGCCATGTAAGCAAAAATAACCTATGATTGGGTGAATTTTGCCTGACTTGTTTAATTACAATTGTTATGCTATTGTTTTGATACTGAAATTGACTACGGCATGTCCCGTCTACCTGAACTACTGTATACAAAGGACCCAAAGCGGAAACTGATTTCGCCATTGGGATTTACAAAGGTCCTTCTTTATGTCATATTTACGGTTGTGTACATATCTGATGTTTTAGAGGTCCGTGTTTGCTCTGCTCCTTCTTTTTATTGTTTGCTTTGAGATCAAATACTGTTAATAATCTCCATAATATTCTAGCATATTATTTTAATCATTTACCCCAAGCTCTCTGATTGGATCAAACTTGATCACATGATAATGTATATAACAGCATATAGACTTGCGTTACTATTTCTAGAATCTGATATGCATATCGATTTGATGTTTCTTAGAATGGAAATAATTTTCTGTAAAACAAAAATAGTACTTATTTCACAATTATAACTACTACAGAATATGACTTGATGTTTCTGAAAAAAAAATTTACTATGTACAACTTTACTTGTATTAATATTTTTTTCATGTTTCGTAATTGATGAGACGTAACAATGCCTCGAAAAACATATTGAATATGTTTGTCAAAAGTTGATACAAACATAATCATATGAATTAAGTATTTTGAATAAATGAATCCTCTAAATAACTACGTCAATATAAAAGAAACATATTCAAATCAAACAGCTTAATTCATTTTGATATCTAGTCTCTAAGTGTTAAAGAGGAAAAATTTGTGCCTTTTTTCCATTATTTTCAAATTTTGTTTTGTCAATATATGTTAAAAATAATATAACAAATATAGCCCTTTAATTCGGTCAATCCATAGATATATCGACTTCACAGAAAATCATATCGACCGCGCCCTTCGTGCTCGGTCGATATTCTTTTGGGTGGAGTAGATATATCTATGGATTGTGCTCATCAAAGGGCTATATTTATATAATATTTCATCCATCACTGTTTGTTTTCTTCCTTTTTCATTTTGTACAAGTACAAGAGGCCCAAGGGCCTTGAATTGCTCTTCTGATAAATTGTACAACCTATCACTTCTATTTGAAGCCTCTAACCCTAAGTATTCTAAGAGCCAAGTTGCATCAACTGACAAAGTTTGATGATTCTTAGCCAATTATAACTGAAGATATTTTAATAAAGCTATAAAAAAAACCATAAGTAGGTCACAATGACCTACTTTAAGATTGAAGTTTTCTGAGGACTCAAGATGCAGTAATAGACACAGATTGAAGATTCTAAGCCAATAAGTATGTGAGATATTCAAAAGTAAGTCACCTTGACCTACTTTTTCATCTACATTCTTGGAAAACCAAAATGCATCAACTGACAAAGTTTGATTATTCCAAGCCAATAAGTACTGAAGATACTTAATTATAGCCATAAAATGTTAAAAGTAGGTCACTGTGACCTAATTTTTAGTAGGCGATTTTTGGAAGCCCAAAATACATCAACTGACAAAGTTTGATGATTCTCAGCCAATATGTATCTGAGATATTCAAAAGTAGGTCACCATGACCTACTTTTTGGTTGACATTCTCTGAAAACCCAAGATGCATCAACTGACAAAGTTTGATGATTCTAAGCCAATAAGTACCAGAGATCCTTAAATAAAGCCATAAAATGTCAAAAGTAGATCACCGTGACCTACTTTTTGGTCATCACTCTCCGAAAACCCAAGATGCATCAACCCACAAAGCTTGATTTTTCTAAGCTTATAAATACCTAAGATACTTAAATAAAGTTATTAAATGTCAAACGTAGGTCACCATGACCTACTTTTTGGTCGTCACTCTCCGAAAACCCAAGATGCATCAACTCACAAAGTTTGATGATTCTAAGCTTATAAATACCTAAGATACATAAATAAAGCTATACAATGTCAAAAGTAGGTCACCGTGACCTACTTTTAGGTCGTCACTCTCCGAAAACCCAAGATGCATCAACCCACAAAGTTTGATGATCCTAAGCTAAGATACATAAAAAAGCTATAAAATGTCAAAAGTAGATCCCCGTGACCTACTTTTTGGTCGTCACTCTCCGAAAACCCAAGATGCATCAACTCACAAAATTTGATGATTCTTAGCCAATAAATACCGAAGATACTTAAATAAAGCCATAAAATTTCAAAAGTAGGTCATCGTGACCTACATTTTAGTCAACATTTTTCAAAGTCTCAAGATGCATCTGCTGACCAAGTTTGATGATCGTAGGTCTAAAGGTAATCAAAATATGCCTTTTAAACAATGTGAAAACATATGCCTGTAAAATTCAAAAAGTAGGTCCCAGTTATCTTCTTTTTCATAAATATGTTTTAAGGTCCCAAGATGCAGCAATTTACAAGATTTGATGATTCTAACCCTCTCAGTGTCTGCAATAATGGGATTAAATGTTTTAAAAAGGATAAGTCATAAAGTTCAAAAAGTAGGTCAAGGTGACCTACTTTTAAGTTGACGTTGTTCAAGGACCCAAGATGCATCAACTAACAAAGTTTGATGATCATAGGCCTTAAAGTGTCCAAAATATGCCTTCAAATCAATTTGAAAACAAATACCCGCAAAATTAAAAAAGTAGGTCACGGTGACCTACTTTTGATTTAACATGATGTGAAGTCTTAAGATGCATCAACTTACAGGATTTGATGATCCTAGTCCTTATAGTAAGCAAAATATAAACGTTTTTATCAATTGTAAATTTAGGTAAACTTTGAAGCGACCTTGAGATCACGCCCTTTGTCCCAGGGTCATGCCTTGAACAATATTTAATCTTCAACATATTCTAATCCTTGTGTGTAAGTTTGGTGAAAATCTGCCGGGTGGTTCTGGAGAAGAAGATTTTTTAGCAACCAGTACTTTTGGTTGTGTTTTCCTGATTATCTCCCTTTGTTTAAGGGTCCCAACCCTTATTTTAGCACAAATGGTAGCCCTTGGGCCAAGGATACCCTGTGACAAATTTGACACTGATTGGCCAAGGCGTTCTTGAGTTATGGCCCATTTTCTAAAAAGTTGACGCACACCGCACAAATGGCCATAGCATTAGCTCTTTGAGCCTTTGGCTCAGAAGAGCTAAAAATGTGATTTACTCAGGGTCCAGCTCTTTGGAGAAAGGGACGGTGTGTATCAGTGTCAGAGAGCAGAACGGAGTATATGAAGCCATACCAAGACATTGTCAAGGAAAGCTAACTTCCATCTGCCAGGACAAACGCACTGGTGAGTGAATGAATTCAATTTAACATTAAGTTAATTTATAATAATTGCCCGGGATATCACAAATCATTGTTTAAATGTTTAACAAAACTAGCCACAGAAACATTCTATAAATCATTTTTTAGAATCTGAGATTTGTAAAATATTGTATTAAGGCGTTTAAAAGCGATTCCAATGATCATTTAAAATATTTTCACCTTAAACTATCTTTTTATACCTAGATGCAATTTTTCGTCATGGGAGCAAAGTCGATTCACAAGAGACGCCATCAAAAACAAACTTCAAGGGTTTGTCTTTGTTTGTTTTTTTTTTTTTTTGTTTTTTTTTTTTGATAGAAATAAACGTTTTTCCACTGATTTTCGGTTTCCAAAATGTGATTTTTATGTGTTTAAACGAATGTAGCGATCATTGAACATTATAACCCAATATAGTATTTTTATAATTAGACCCAGTTTTCAGTAGTTTGAGCAAAGTGACATCGCAACATAATTTCTCAAACTCCAAAGGTTTGTCTTCAGTTCTTTTGTTAGAAATTAATTTTTTTTTCTTATTAGTAATATGTCTTTTACGTGTTCAAAAGGATTATATTGATCATTAAAATAATTTTTATCTTAATTTTTTTTCCATGATTAGAACCAGTTTTCCGTAGCTGGAACAAAGTAACACCGCAACAGGCTTTACCGGTCTCAAGCTCCAAAGGTATTTCCTCAACTCCTCTGTTAGAATTAAGCGTATTCTTCTATTACCAATATCATGAAACTGATATTCTTTCAATATAACTGAGTCTCAACATGGATATTTATGCTTGTTTCATGCTTCAAATCAACCCAATTTTCACAGTGTGCTAAACTTCACATATAGAAGTTAGGTATAAAATCAATTAGCAAAACAATATTTTGATAAACATGCTAAACATAAATGAAAATGTATATTACCAGTATTTGATTATTCTATAATATCGGTTAATTAAATACTAATCATTATTAAAATAATCAGTAGATGTGCCATTGATATACAAACCTGCTGGGTTTTGAAACAATATAACCGAATAGAGTATTTTTATAATTAATAATTTTTTTATTAATAATTTTTAATCTAAAACATTTTTTATGATTAGACCCAGTTTTCCGTGGTTGGAACAAAGTGACCCCCACACAGGATTTACCTGTTTCAAACTCCAAAGGTATGTCTTCAGCTCCTTTTTTTATTTGTTTTTTTTGTTTTGTTTTTTTTTTTTGAAATAAGCGTATTTTTCTGATTACAAATTTACAAATATTATGAAATTAATAATCTATCAGTATCATATGATGTTTAATTTATGCGTGTTTCATGCTTCAAATCAATCAATTTTCACAGTGTGCTAAACTTTATGAATAGAAGTTAGGTATAAAATCAATTAGCAAAACAGTATTTTGATAAACATGCTGAAAATGTAAATCACCAGTAGTTGAATTAATCTATAATATCGGCTAATTAAATACTAATCATTATTAAAAATAATCAGTAGATGTGCAATTTATATAACCTGCTGAGTTTATCGTTTATAAAATATTCTTAAGGTATCAAATTGAGTTAAGAAATGAATCTTATCAAAAAGGTCACTGGAAATGAACATTGGTTTAGCAAGCCCTTAAGGAATTAAGGAATTAATCTCGTAACCAACCAGTATTTATATCCCAATA